TTGCTGCCGCCGCCACCATCACCTGGTTGAAATAAAGTAATTTTTTCTTTCCAGGGGCTAGTTATTTGGGGAGTGGGAAAATGCTTCTGTGCTGGGGACCATGTTGGCAGGCCAATGACTGAATGAATTCTTCAAAGACCAGACTAATAGAAATGGAGGATTTAGTGAGAGATACAACCAAAGCTGGGGTGGGGGAAATCAAGGATTGTATCTGACACAATGTGTCCCTAATGTTAACTGGGGAGGGAGGGATGAAAAACTCTTTACAGGGTTTAATGGAAATTTCTTAGGTCTGATCAGCTGGGACACCTACCTGTGGGGGCTCTTACTTGGTTAGGTGACACAATACAGTCCCGAGGACTAACTTACAGTATGGGATGCCTGCTGTTGAGACTGGCAACCTGTCTCAAGGGCAGGAATGTGCTACTAGGGGTCAGATTTGTGAAAGTGTACATCTGTTCATTAAAGGGTGGAATTCTCTGTATGCTATTAGGATGCCTTAAGATAAAGTGTAGCTATGGCTTGTTAAGATTAATGGGTTCTCAGAGGCATCAGGACCCTTACCCTGAGCTCAGACCCACTTTAATGCCAAAGTAGCTTTGTTCTGAGGACGGAATGGCTCAGCAGTGATCCATCCCAGATGGCACCCACAGCAGCCTCCTCTTTTCCTCTGGTAATGTGGATCTCATTGCTTCCTTCCTGAGCTCTTGCTTCCACTCCAGTTGGAGCAAGTAAACTCTAGGCAGATTATATACAGCTTCAGTAGATATGATATTGCCCTGACAGGCCTGGGCCTTCCTCTGCCCTCTCCTGCCTTCAAGTTGTCAATTGTCGTTTAGACTTATAAATGTGAGCAGTATCAACCAGGAGCCCAGCCCAATGTTAATGAGCTGATAAACTAAGGCTTTCATAGATGGACAGACACTTCGGTGTTCAAGCATGGAAACCACACTGCAAGTCAGTGTAACTGGGAGAGACTCAGCAGGGTCAGTAGCCTAAGGTGGAGTTGCCATGGCAACCCCAGTTCCATCCATCTGGCTTTCACAGCTTAGTTCCAGAGGATTTTCTTTCCCAAGCAGCAGTATTGAGCCCTGAAAGGAAGAGGGGTGAGTCTGTCTGTCCAGGTTCTCATGCAGGAATCTCTCTTCTGGAATAAAAAATAAGGGATGGAGCGATGGCTCCGTGCTTAAGAGCTCTTGCTGCTCTTGCACAGGAGCTGAGTTAATCACCAGCACCGTGTTGCCTGCTCACGACACCTGTTACCATCTCCCGGGGATCTGACTCCTCTGGCTTCCTGGAGCACAGTCTGCACTCATGTGCACACATGCATACACAAATCAACATAGCGATAAGTAGATCTTGGGGTTGAAGAGATGGCTCATCAGTTAAGAGTACTTGCTCTTCCAGCTTTGTCTGTTCTCAGCACCCACATGTTGGCACATAGCTCCAGTCTCAGGGATCTGATGCCCTCTTCTGAATTCCTCAGGCACCAGGTACACACATGGTGCACAGACATACATGCAGGCAAAACACTTATGAAAAAATAAATCTTAAATTTTTAAAAAAAATTTTTAGTAACGTGCTGAGGATGTAACTTAGTGGTAGAACATTTTTGTCTAGCAGATGCAAACTTGGAGGTTTGATCACCTGAACTGCATTAAATAAATGAAATTTATTTTACTTTCTTTTCTTTTTTTCTTTTTCTTTCTTTCTTTCTTTCTTTTTTTTTTTTTTTTTTTGAGACAGGGTTTCTCTGTAGCTTTTGGAGCCTGTCCTGGAATTAGCTCTTGTAGACCAGGCTTGCCCCGAATTCACAAAGATCTGTCTGCCTCTGCCTCCCGAGTGCTGGGATTATTTTACTTTCTTGGGGCTCCTATATCTCAGGTTAGCCTTGAACTTGATATGTAGCTGAGGAGAACACTGAACTTGTGGTTCTCTCACTCTCGCCTCCCAAGTGCCAGCATTACAGGTGTGTATCAAGTCACCCAGTTTATGTCCTGCAAGTAGTAAGCTAATACTTTACCAAGGAGCCTGAGATGATGGTGAAACAAGTAAAAGAATTTGTTACCTGACCGCCTGAGTTCAATTTTTGGTCCCCCCTTGCTGTGATGAGAACCCAACTCCTGAAAGTTGTCCTCTGACTGACAACCGTATGCACACATACAGATTTTAAAAAAACAAAACAAAACAAAAAAACACTTTTCGTTTGGTTTTTGAAATAAGGCTTCTCTGTATAGCCTTGGCTGTCCTAGACTCACTTTGTAGACCTGGCTGGCCTGGAACTCACAGAGATCCGCCTACCTCTGCCTCCAGAGTGCTGGGATTAAAGGCGTGTTTCACCACCACCTAGCAGTTTTTTTTTAAAAGGTCAGAAATTGGAATGGAACATGCTAGCACACACTTTTGATCCCAGCACTCTAGAGGCAGAAACAGGCCTATGAGTTTAAGGCCAGCCAGGTTTACACAGTGAATTCTAGGACAGACATGTACACAGTAACACCCTGTTTTAAAAAACCAAACCTCCCCCCAATAGAAAAACAATAATAAAGTTGGGTGTAAGGGCCAGTAGCTGAAATCCTAGAACACTTCCAGTGAGAAGAGAGGTGAGACTGGCCACCCAGAAGCTTGGGACCAGTACTTGGACTCCATCGCCTAGAAACAAGACCCTGCCTCAAAAGCAAGATGGAAGAGAACCAACTCTGGAAAGTAAACTGACCTCCATTTGCATGCACTCTGCCTTCACTCACATACACAAGTTTTTAAAATTTCTACTGTTTTGGGATGAAATAAAATTTAACCTCTAACTTTGCTGGATGCTTTCTTTCATTAAAGTTTGGGAGAAAAACAGTAGGGCGGACAAACTTAAGTCTCTGCAGCTGTTGGGAGATGATGTTCAGGAAGAAGAAAGAGGGCTATACCCTTTTAAGAAAAAAGCTGGCTGGGTGTGGTAGCAAGCCTTTGATCCCAGCCTTGGGGCAGGGTAGAGGCAGGCAGATCTCTGCGAGTTCAAGGCCAGTCTGTCTAAGAAGGGAAGTCCAGGACAGCTAGGGCTGTAACACAAAGAATCCCTGTCTCAAGAAAACTACCCCCCCCAATCAAACAAACAAAAAAACAAAAGCAAAAACAACAACAAAAACAAAACAAAACAAAAAACAAAAAAACCTGGACCCAGCGGTGGTGGCCCACGCTGTTAATCCCAGCACTCAGGAGGCAGAGGCAGGCAGATCTCTGTGAGTTTGAGGCAGCCCTAGTCTACAAGAGCTACTCCCAGGACAGGCTCCAAAGCTACAGAGAAACCCTGTCTCGGGAAAAAAAAAAACTGAAAACAAAAACAGATAAAAAAGCAAAAAACCTGGCTGGTTTAGCAATAGAGGTTTGCAAGCTGCTGCGAATTCAGGGGTGGAAATGGTCTTCAGAGAAAGAGTGAGAATGTCCGGAGTGCCAGGACAAGCATGTTTAGGATTTTGACTGGTATGGGCGTGGGAGAAATTATGATTACTGGGCTGGCTTAGCAGTGAAGATCGGTAAGCAACTGTCTCTGTTTTGAGAACGGATCAGGTTAACCTCCAACTCCTCCTTTACAGGTTTGAAATTGGTAATCCTCCTGCCTCATCACCACCATTTCCTCTTTTACTCGAAGTAGGGTGGTTTGCTGAGTGAAATTCACTGTTTATCAACTGAGACTTGCCGCCGATGAACCAGGTACGCTGAAACAGGCCCAAATGTCTTACCTTTCGTGGGGCTTGTGAGGAGGATTGCTGGGGGACAGCATGGTCCACATAATGAGTTCCTGGCCAGGCAGAAGAGTTTAGTAAGATCTTTTCCCAAGGAAGGGGGTTAAGGGTGGGGGCACTGAAGAAAGAACACACAGGAACTGTCCCAACAGGAGTTTAGGAAAGAGCTGTTAGCGTATTGTATGAGTTGTAGCCTATAATATGGACGATTAGGCACGAGTCAGGAGAATGGGGACATGAGCCCAATGAGCAGAATCCAGGGCTTATTGGAAGTGTCTGGCCCAGTTTTTTTTCTGACTGTCCTGGAACTCACGCTATGAAACAGGCTGGCCTTGAATTTACAGAGATCTGCCCATGTGCCTCCCAAGTGCTGGGATTAAAGGCGCCACAAAGGCCTGGCTGTACCCTCTTTGGATTTTTGTTTCTCACGATGTTCCTCTGGGCTGGCTTCAGACTCACTGTGTAAACCAGACTGGCCTCAAACTCATAAAAATGCTCCTGCTTCTGCTTCCCCAGCGCTGAGATTGAAGATGTGCACCCTCACACCCGGCCAGAAGTCTCTTCAGTCCACAGGGAATTCGCTCCTGTGAATCCCATCTGTTCCTGTAGCAGATGCTGTTGGAGGTATTATTGGAGAGATAACAGATAGAAAGAGGAAAGCTAAGTCAGGCACCAAAAGCCTAAAGGTTTACTCTGATCCGGAAAACTCTGCAATAGCAGGCGCAAGGTCCGGGACGAGGACTGTCTCTCTGGGGACTATGTAAACCAGGACACACCACTTGCTGGCCAACCACGAGCTGTCGCTTTAAGAAACGCCACCCACGTGACCAACGACGGCTTGGTGCCTTCAGCGCTCATTCACACTGACCAATCTTGAGGCGGAACGCCCATTGGTGGGCGGGATACTCAGGAGACAGCCACCGATTGGCCCCGCGTTTTGAGGGCGGAGTCTGGGCTCCGAGAGAGGGAATTAGCCCGAGCCGGTGAGTAGAAGCTGCCGCCGCCTCTTGGGCAGGCTTCCTCGCAGCGCCGGACTCTGCAGGTGAGCAGGCCCTGCTGGGGTCCAGGGCTTCGCATCCCGCGGTGGGCTGCTCACCAGCCGGGAAGCCGGCGGGGGCCCGCCCTCTTCATCGAGCACGTGACACAAGTTCCGTAACCCTTGACCTTCCCTCTCCACCCCACGCCCTCCGGATCTGGGATGAAGTAAGGTGGATTGGAGGATGCGCAACTCTGAGGTCCTAGGAGGTCGGCTCCTACGCTTTCTGGGCAGAGGGACTTGGAACTGAGAATGTGCAGGAGAGGAGACTGAGGAGTGGGAGACCCTGGTCACAGACTCGACTTTGTGAGGTCCCAATAGGGGGACATAATAGAGTAACTCCCTCCTGGCTTTCCACACACCCAATACTGAGTGCTCCCATTTTCGAGATGGGAAAACTAAAGCATACTCATTCTGTGGTGCATCTAATTGTGGGACTCCAAATCCTTGGGCTACTAAGCCAGGCCTAGTTCAAACACAAGCGTGCTTCTTGTAAATAGAGTATTCTGAGTTAATTTACTACAAAGGTTCGAGCCCCTGCCATCTAATTACTCAGTGCTACTGGTTGGCCTTGGACAATCCAGGTAATCTCTCTGAGCCTTGGCTTTTGTGACTTTGTGAAATGAACAAAATGTATACTGTATATATCTCATTGTTAGATATTAGATATATAGGTTTGAATGAGGTCATAGAGTGTTGCTATCTGGAAGCCACATTTATGTGCTTAGAAAAATAGCTGTGCTGGAGAGATGGCTTGGTGGTTAAGAGCAGGCTGCTCTTCCAGAGGACCCGGGTTCAATTCTCAGCACTCACATGGCAGCTCACAACTGTCTGTAACTGTAGTTCAAGGGGATCTGGTATCCTCACACAGACATACGTGCAGGTAAAATATCAATGTACATAAAAATAAATCTTTAAATGCCAGGAGTGGTGGCGCACACCTTTAATCCCAGCACTGGGGAGGCAGAGGCAGGCGAATCTCTATGAGTTCGTGGCCAGCCTGGTACAAGAGCTACTTCCAGGACAGGCTCCAAAGCTACAGAGGAAACCCTGGCTCAAAGAGCCAAGGAAACAGAAAAAGCAATGAAGAATAACTGTTCTTTCTTTTTTCAGCAAGTGTTAATGAGGGCATAGTATGTGCTGACATTGCTGCTGGATGCTTGGGCTTCAAAGGTGAGCATACAGACCATGGTCTTTGCTGGTGTGCAGCTCCCAGTCTGCTGGGGACCACATGCTGGCCTGCAGCACCCCCTTAAAAAGAGTGGGAATGATGGTAAAAAGCCATGTGTAACCCAGCCCTGGGCACGCCAAGGTGGGCGTCTCTCTGGGGCTCACTGACCAGCCAGCCTACTAATCTGTGGACTTCAGGTTCCAGGGAGAGACCCTGTCTCAAAAAACAAGTAGGCAGCTCCTCAGGAGGAGTGATAACCAAGGTTATCTTCTGGTGTGAACTCTGCAAACACACACAGAGTTGTGCAACTGTGTAGTTACAGACTGTTTGACCCCAAGGCTCTGCCACTGAGCTATATCTTCAACCTCCTTTTTTAATTTTTTATATTTTTCTTGAGACAGGGTTTCTCTGTAACCCTGACTGTCCCTAGAATTTGTTCTGGCTGTGGACCAGGCTGGCCTCAAACTCAGAGATCCTCCTGCCTCTGCCTCCTGAATGCTGGGATTAAAGGTGTGCACCATCACTCCAACTCCAGCCTTCTTTTTACCTGTATTTTGAGATAGTCTGAGTTGTTGGATAACCTTGAACTCATTTCATAGTCCAGGTGGGCTTGGAACTATCCATGCTCCTGCCTCAGATCTGCTTTAAGGACAAATGACAGGAATATTTACACAACCTGAGCAAGTGACATTTGAACAGTGATGCCAAGTTAAAGAGATTTAGGGAGGAGAACAAAGAAGGGGGAGTGTCGCAAAGAAGAAACAGAATGGACTGAGGTCCTGAAATAAGCACATGTTTTTGCAGACAGCCTGTGTGCAGTCTTTCCAGCTTGGGCCAGTTTTGTTCTTTTTTTCCAAAAGCAACGGGGGAGACTAGGAGGAGAGTGATGGGGGCTACATGCATTGCCCATTGGTTTTAGAGATGAATGATGCATCTTTGCTGGAGTCCTGGGAGCTTGTCTGGGTGGATCATCTTGGACCTGGCCTTGTTGAGCCTCTAAACTCCCTGTTTGTGGATTGTAGAGCAAGAGGAGCAGGCACGGATGAGAGAGGGTCTTGCTTGACCTGTGTTTGGGGGACTCTTAGAGATATTGGACAGTTTTTAACCCTTCCTTTTGTTTCCACTCCCAGCTCCCCTGGGACCATGTCAGAGAGAGAAGAGCGGAGGTTTGTGGAGATCCCTCGTGAGTCAGTTCGACTCATGGCAGAGAGCACAGGGCTGGAGCTGAGTGACGAGGTGGCGGCTCTGCTTGCTGAAGATGTGTGCTACCGTCTCAGAGAGGCCACACAGGTGCGCTGCTCTCAGCTCTCCTTAGCCCTTCTCCCTTTGTTCTTCCCTGTTACCCCCTCCCACACTGGCTGGTTCAACAAACATATGTTAGGTACCTTGTGTTTTGAGGTTAGCAGACAGTCTAGATCTTTTAAAGAGTCCTTATCTAAGCCAGGCAGTGATGGTGTATGTTAGACTAATTAGAATCATGCTTCAAGAGGCAGAAGCAGGTGGATTTCTGAGTTGGAGGTCACCTTGAACTACAGAGTTCATTCCAGGACAGCCAGGGCTACACAGAGAAACCCTGTCTTGAAAAACAAAAACAAAAGACAAACGAATGAAAACATTTTCATCATTAGTCACCTAGAAAAGAAAACACTAGCTGAGCATTTCCTTATGGCACTTCTTTACAATGTCCTGCCACCTAGGCAGAGTGGATGGATAGTGACGCTCTGCACAGCAGACACTAAGGCACAGAGCTGGGTTGTGATGTGAGAAAGTTTTGCAAAGGCTGAGCTGGAGAAACCAGGCTTTCTGATTGCTAGTGTGGGCTCCTCTTTGTGTCTTCAATCTAACCCATTTCCTTTGGGGGTTCCTACACCTGCTCCCTGCTTCCTGACTCTGGCTTCTGTTCATCCCCTCCCAGAATAGCTCTCAGTTCATGAAGCACACCAAACGGAGGAAGCTAACAGTAGAGGATTTCAACAGGGCTCTCAGGTGGAGCAGTGTGGAGGTGAGTGGAGTACAACCACAGAGGGCTCAGGCGGTTACCTCACCCCTGTTCAGGTCAGGGCTCGCAATGTTGTGAGACATGGAGACAAACACACAGTGCAATAGGTCGGGTGCTGGACCCAGACCAAAGCAATATGAGTTCTGAAAGAATGGAAAGGCCCCTGGGATCCTGGACAGTGGGGGAATGATTTATAAAAGAAATAGAGCTTGAGCCAGGCCTTAAAAGAGTGCTGAGGAAATTGAGTTTGAAGTACTCCAGAAATAAAAATGCATGCTGGGTAAGGAAACAGCCTGAAGAAACATGGGATGTTAACCTGTGTTGGTGTAGTTCTGGATCAGGGAGTTGAGAGAGGAAGGTTGTGTTTTTAGAGTTGTTTGGCTGTGAGTGATAGGGACTGGCACCTTAGTAGGGCATAGAACCCTTACAGTTACAAGAGGAAGGTAACATCCAGCCCTTGACCCGGTGAGCCATAGGCAGCTCTGAACCCCAGGCTTCTCTCCATCCTGGGACCCAGGTACTGCCCGCCAGCAAAGGCTTCCCGCCCTTCTCTTGTTCCTTACTGGATTGACTGTTTGCCAATCCTCTTTCTCCTCAGGCTGTGTGTGGCTATGGGTCCCAGGAGGCACTGCCCTTGCGACCCGCAAGAGAGGGTGAGCTCTACTTTCCAGAGGACCGAGAAGTGAACCTCGTGGAGCTGGCATTAGCCACCAACATCCCCAAGGGCTGTGCAGAGACAGCAGTCAGAGGTGGCTGCTAGGGTCCTTCTTGGGGTTGGGACAGGAACTGGATGGTCTGAGTGGTGCTGATGGGCCAACTTTTAGGAAGGGTGGAATTTGGAGGGGCAAAATCTCGACTGACATCCAACTTTTTCCCTTAATTTTAGTCCATGTCTCCTATCTGGATGGCAAAGGAAACCTGGCACCTCAGGGATCAGGTAAATGGCAGTGTGGAGAATGGGCTGTCCAGAAGAACTCTGTAAGAGTCAGGGGCATCTGTGCCTTTTGGTCTGCATCCGCCAAGCGTTTCCAGATGCCTGCCATGTTCTAAAGGAACACATGCCTTTGATCAGAAGGCTTATGGTCAGAGGCAGAACCCAGACCCATTAGCCCCCATAATGTATGTTGGAGACCAAGACAGAAATCTGTGCTGTATTCTGAGGTCCCCAAGAAGTGTCTCACTTCCAGGGTACACTGAGCAGAGCTTCAGCGAGCCTGAGTCATAGACAATCGCAATCAGAGCTGTAGAACTGAGCAGGAACCTGTATGGCAGAGGGTGGGTGGGAGTACATAGAGCCGAGACAAGTGGAGCCTGCCTGATCAGAGTGCACTGGGAGCAGCTGGAGCCTGTGCCTGCATTTTCTGCTTGATTGGGTCCCATGTGGATGGGTGTGGTAGCTGTAGGGTGGCAGGCTGAGGAAGCCTTGAGAAGGCTGTCCCTTCATCTGTGACCTCTTCCTTCTTATCTCATCACAGTGCCCAGCGCAGTGTCTTCACTGACAGATGACCTTCTCAAGTACTACCAGCAAGTCACGCGGGCTGTACTGGGGGACGACCCCCAGCTGATGAAGGTGAAACAGTGACTAGGCATAAAGTCAGAGTTTTAAATCCCCATGAATATTTCAGTTGTCTAGTTCCTGTCCTCTGTAGAGGAACTGTTTATTGTGGTGAAACCCATTCTTTAGTGGTGTGTGTGCTCTGTGTGAGTCCCTGCTATGCCAGTCCTAACTCCTTAATGCTCTAATAGAAACAGTTGTTCCCTGGGCAGTGGGCAGCAGAGCAGGTGCTTCTAATGATTGTATTCCCACACCTTCATTCCTGATTCCCATTTTTTGAGGTGTCTATTGATCTGGAGCCAAATGAGGCATTATATTTATTTATTTATTTATTTACTTATTTATTTTTGGTTTTTTTTTTTGAGGCAGGGTTTCTATATATAACAGTTGTAATTGTCCTGGAACTAGCTCTTGTAGACCAGGCTGGTCTCTAACTCATGGAGATCTGCCTACCTCTGTTCCCTGAGTACTGGGATTAAAGGCATGCACCACCACCACCCTGCTTTATTTATTTAATAATCATTTTATTTTGTTTTTTTGAGACAGGGTTTCTCTGTGTAACAAGCCTTCACTGTCCTGGACTTCTCTTTGTAGACCAGGCTGGTCTCGAACTCACAGAGATCCATCCTCTACCTCCCCAGTGCTGGGACTAAAGGTGTTTGCCACTATGCCTGTCGAGGCATTTGTTTTTCTGGACTTGGTAAGGAAAGAAGAAGTCTAGGTCCAGGTCAAGTGCCTCCAGGTGCCATTCAGGCCTGCTGTCAAGCGTAGTTCCTGGACTGCTTCCTGAGCTGCTTCTTTAACCTCTGGACATTACCAGAGGCTTTCCTCTCTGGTCCACAGTCAGATCAGGGCTCGGTTTGCCCAACCATGTGACTTCTCTGTGTGATATGATCCTCACCTTCACATCTGGCTGCTGCTATTTCGCTTAAAAATCTAGGAACATTGTCAGCATCTGTTTCTGTCCTCAGAACTTGGCTGCTGGGCTAGCCATGCATTGATTAGCATGTGCAAAGGCCTGGATTGGAAGTCCCAACATTGTTAAACAAATATCAGAAGCAGGCATGGTGGTGTGGGCCTGTAATCTCAGCACTGGTAGGAAGACTGCAAGTTTTAGACCGTGCTAATGGCTACTTTATAAGACTCTGTCTCAGTAGAGAACCAAGGGAAATAAAAACTGAGCTCTTGCTTTGTGTCTTGGTCATTCATGGATGGCAGCTATGCGCTTGGGAGCTAAGCCCCTCTCACTTTCAGATCTCCAGAAGGTTTGGGTGGTCCAGATCATAGCAGTTAATGGATGAATGAGGTGGGTTTATGTTTGAGACAGGGTCTCTCTATATAGTCCTGATTGCCCTAAAACTAACTCTCTATGTAGATTTGCCGAACTCTGAGATCTTCTTGCCTACTTCCCCAGAGCTCTAGGATTAAAAGTGTACACTGCCGTGCTCAGCTGTTCGCTTTTTGTCTGTTTTGAGACAGGGGTCTTTGTGTAGCCTTGGTTGTCCTAGAATGAGCTCTGGAGACCAGGCTGGCCCAAAACTAAAAATCTGCCTGTCTCTGCCTTTAGTGCTAGGATTAAAGGCATGCTCCACCACTTGGCTGCTTTTTAATATTTTAAAGAATTTATTACTATTTTTTGTTGGCGGGGGGGGGTTCTCTATGTAGCCTTGACTGTTCTGGAACTCCCTCTGTACACCTGGCTGGCCTCGATCTCAGGGAAACCCACCTGCCTCTGCCTTCTGAATGCTGGGACTAAAGGTATGCGCCACTACTGCCCAACTGAATTATTTATTTCCTATTTTATGTGTCTAATATTTTGCCTGGATACATTTAAATAAGTGGATCATTTTTGTTCATTGCCCACAGAAGTCAGAAAAGGGCGAGTATCCCTTAGAACTGGAGTTATAGGCAGTTGTATAAGCTGTAATGTGGGTGCTGGAACCTGAACCCAGGTCCTCTGCAAGAACAGCAAGTGCTCTTAACTACTTAACCATCTCTCCAGGCCTGGCTTAAGGTTTTTACTGTGATAAATGTCTTTGCCTACAGAAGTAACACCAGTATATGTTTATTGTGGAGGTACATATAATATAGAAGCATACAGTCTTCTTATTTACAACTTAATGTAAGCATAAGTAGTATCTGGTTTTACAATTTACCTTGGATTTTGTTTTGTTTGAGTCGAGTTAGTTTTAGTCTTGCTTTGTAACCCTTGGCCTGGAACTCACTATGATAGCCTAGGTTGGTCTTAAGTTTTCAACAGTCTGCATGTCTCAGCTTCTCGAGTGCAGGGATTACAGGCTTCAGCCAAGCCCGACCTACAGCTGTTTCCTAGTTAGAAATGTGTTGGAGCTAGGCCTGGTGGTGAGCACCTGGAATCCTAGCACTTAGGGAATGGGAGGCAGGAGCATTTGAAGGTCAGGGTATCCTCAGTTACATAATTAGTTAAAGGCTGTTATGGTATACATTAGAACATGTCTCAAAAACAGAAATAATATTGGACCATTAGATTATATTCACTGTTGTTACTACTGTGTATGCTGTGGCTTGTGTGGGAGTGTAAGAGAACACCTGGGAAGTTAGTGAGTTCTCGTTCATCTTTACGAGGTTTCTGGGATTTGAGCTTCGGTTGGTGGGCTTGTGCAGCATGTACTCTTACCAGATTCTCACAATCTCAATGGCCCCATCTTTCTCCTTTTGGAAAGTGGTTCATGCTGACTTCACACCTGTACTCATGTATGACTCATGTGTCACACCTAGCATGCGTTCACTTTTTCTATTAACAGATAGTATTGTTGTCTGTGTCAGTAGGTTTCCATAGGTTAAAACTAATGGAATCCTTGCATCAGGGCGTGAACATTTAACATGATGACACGTGGGTGCAGTGCTAACCCACCAGAATGGTGGCTCTCTTTTATTGGGATGGTTCCTTTCAGGTCGCCCTCCAGGACCTGCAGACAAACTCCAAGATTGCTGCACTCCTGCCTTACTTTGTTTATGTGGTCAGTGGGGTAAGTGACCAATTTTCTAATGAAGATGGCCCTGCAGTGCTTAGGGTTCATAGCAGATGCTGTCAGAATGGCAGGCTCCTCCTGTCTCTCCATGTCTTCCTAAGCCACCTGCTTTTACCAACAGGTCAAATCTGTAAGCCACGACCTGGAGCAGCTGCACCGACTACTGCAGGTGGCACGGAGCTTGATACGGAACCCACACCTCTGCTTGGGGCCCTATGTCCGATCCCTGGTGGGGAGTGTGCTCTATTGCGTCTTGGAGCCACTGGCCGCCTCCATCAACCCTTTGAATGACCACTGGACTCTTCGGGATGGGGCTGCGCTTCTACTCAGCCACATCTTCTGGTAGCTACTGGGCTTGAAGTGAATAGAGAATGGGATGGCTTACAGAGTCAGTTGGGCTGTGGTAGGAAACTGTAAAGCCTCTGGCTTTGAGAGCGAATGTTGAGTGTAGACCCTTCCCTTCGAGCCCTAGCTGGCATGTCATGGTACAGTACAAATATACTAAGATATCCACTTTTTGTCCCTTGGATACTGAGTCAGTCAAACCTGGCAGCCTGTCCCAGAGTGCCCTACAAATGCTCAAGTCTTTGTGTGCGGTACCTCATTCCCTTTCCTGACTATTGTTCCCACAGGACTCATGGGGACCTTGTAAGTGGCCTCTATCAGCAAATTCTGCTATCCCTGCAGAAGGTCCTGACAGACCCTGTTCGGCCTCTCTGTTCTCACTATGGGGCTGTGGTAGGGCTGCATGCTCTGGGCTGGAAGGTGAGGACCTGACTTTTCTCACACATCTTCGACAGTTGCCATGTATGTTAAAGAAATAGCATTCATGTATATTTTTGTTGTAAAAATGGTGTGTTTGATGGAGCTGTGTATTGAGACCGTGTCTTAGGCCAGGTTTATGGTATACCTTGACTGTCTCTGTGTAAATGCGTCTTCCCTTCAGAACTCCGGCTTGGTGGTCTCTATAGTATGCTCCTGTAAAAATGAATTCTTGCCCATTCCCTAACACCATGTTAGGAAATACCTTCATTTTCTTTGTTTCTCTCCTTTTCTCTTTGAGTTTTTTGTTGGAGACAGTGCTTGTTTTGTTACCCATATTGGCCTTCAGTTTGTGATCCTCTTCAAACACCATACTTTTTTTTTCTAGACAAGGTTTCTCTGTAGCTTTGGAGTCCGTCCTGGAACTAGCTCTTGTAGATCAGGCTGGCCTCAAACTCACAGAGATCCGCCTGCCTCTGCCTCCAGAATGCTGGGATTAAAGGTGTGTGCCACCACTGCCCGGCTTGCAGCACCATACTTCTTGACCATGTCATATTTTCATATTTACTTTTTTTTTTTAATGTCCTCAGTCTTTTAGGGTGCTATCATGGTTGCCCTAAGGAGAACCAACACACTTTATTTTTGCAGTGTTGGCTGTCAGATTCTGGGTCTTGTTCACACTTTGGAGGTGTTCCTCCATCTCCCTCCCCTCCACTCTTTTGTTATGTTTCTTCCCAGATTCTTGCTGTGGTGCTGCTTCAAGGGGGCTGTCCCTTGTTGGTATATAGAAATACAGTTGGTATGTGTGCGTATTTCAAGATCAAGGACAGTTTTATTAGAGTGTTAGAGGAAAATATCCTAGGGCAGGCCAGCTGTAAATCTCAGATGCTTCCCAGATGTGGAGGATGAAGAAAGAAGAAAAAACATGCCTGGTTCATGCCCTTATACCCAATACTCTCTGTGAGTTCAAGGCCAGTCTGCTCTAAAGGAGCAAGTTCCAGAATAGCCACAGCTATTAATACAGAGAAATGCCCTCTTGAAAAGTCCCTCTCAAAGGGGAAAAACAAAAACATATCATTTGAGCTAAACTGGCAGACTGGTAGGTAGTCACATGGTAAGGGAGCGGTTTTAGAGAATAAGGAAGTCCTAGTGATCAGAAAAAGCGTGTTTAGGTTCTAGCCAGCATTTCAAAACAATAGTGCTAAACACAAACAAACAAACCAAATAAATGTGTTTTTGCACCACCTTTAATCACAGCAGAGGCAGGCAGATCTCAAGGACTGCTTGGTTTACAGAGGCAATTCCAGGACAGCCAGGGCTACATAAAGAAACCCTTTCTTGGGGGGAAATATTAAAAAAAAGAAAGAGGGAAAATTGCACCTTGGTCCCCAGAAACGTGGGCAGACCCAACAAAGCTCATGGTGAGGCAGCTCAGGACTGTCACTTTCTGTGTGTGATCCACCTACTTCCTTAAACTATCACTGCTGATTCTTTTTGGGATTTGTTTTGGGACAGCCTCTCATTTAACCCAGGCTGAACTTCATGTGCGATCAGAGGATGACTTGAAACTCCTAATCCTGCTTCTCCCTTCTAGTCCGTGGATTACATTTATGTGCCATTCTTTCCTTTCGTCCTTTTATTGTTACGGTGGAGGGGCTGTGTATGGAAATGGTAGGTGGCTTTGTGCAGTTGATTCTTTCCTTCGCCTTTCATGGTCTCTGGGGATCAAACTTGGGTTTCCAGGATTACACAGCAAGGACTTCTACTCTTTTTTTTCCCCTTTTTTTCTTTCTTGCCTGAATTTTGAAGCTGAGGACTTCTACTCTGTATTATATCTTTGGCCCTTATTTATTTATTTATATTAAATTTTTTGTTTGTTTTGTTTTCCAAGACAAGGATTTCTCTGTAGCTTTGAACTCGCTCTATAGACCAGGCTGGCCTCAAACTCACAGAAATCCGCCTGTCTCTGCCTCCCAAGTGCTGGGATTAAAGGTGCCACCACTGCCCAGCTTTTTTTTTTTTTTTTTTTAAAGGCAGGATTTCACTCTAGCTGGGACTCTATGTAGTTTCATAGACTGAGAGCAATCCATCTGCTTTTGCCTCCCAAGTGTTGGTTTAAAGTCGTGTGCCACATCTTGTTTGGTTTTCTTAAAACAAGGGTCTCAAGCTGACTTTGAACTTTGGTATATGCATGTTTATATATATAGACAGGCTAGAGGTTTATGTCAGATGTCTTTTACAAATTGCTGTCCACTTTACCTTTTTTATACAACATGTTTTCCTGCACACCAGAAGAGGGCGTCAGATCTCATTACAGGTGGTTGTGAGCCACCATGTGGTTGCCGAGAATTGAACTCAGGACCTCTGGAAAAGCAGTCAGTGCTCTTAACCTCTGAGCCATCTCTCCAGCCCCCACTTTACCTTTTTTAATGTGATGGGGGACGGTTTCTGTTATTGAAGCTGGAGCTCGCCAACTTATTAGACAAGATGCCAGCAAGCCACAGTGCTGGGATTATAAATGTGCATGGCTAGGCGTAGTTTCTTTTTACATGGATGCTGTAAATCTGAACTCAGAACCTCATGCTGCCATGGTACACTTTTTACCAACTGAGCTATCTCCCCAGATCCATAGCCAGGAACTTTATTCCTCCCACCCCAAACTCCCCAGTGCTGGCATTAGCAAATGTGAACCAACATGCCCAATCTAGATTTTTATTAGTAAGATATCTTTACATTCATAGGATAAACTCAGTTTAGTTGTAATTTAAGAAGCAGAAGTTTTGCCAGGTAGTGGTGGTGCACTCCTTTAATCCCAGCACTAGGAAGGCAGAGGCAGAGGCCTCTGAGTTTGAGGCCAGCCTGGTCTACAAAGTGAGTTGCAGGACAGCCAGGGCTACACAGAGAAACCCTGTCTTGAAAAAACCAAAGAAATAAAAGAGAAAGAAACAAAAGTTTCTATTGGTTTAAACTGAATTTTTATTTGCTGATTTATTCCAGGTTGGCCTTAGAATTTTTTTTGTAGCTGAAGATAATCTTGAACCTTCTAAATGCTGCCATTTTAGGATTATAGGCCTGTACTATGACACCTAGTTTATACAGTGCTGGGATCAAACCTAGGGCTTAGAACATGCTAGTCAAGCACTCAACTGAGCTACATTTTAGCGCCTTTGTTTTTTTGTTTTTCAAGACAGGGTTTCTCTGTATAGCAGCCGTAGCTGTCCTAGAACTATCATTGTAGACCAGGCTCGCTTCAAACTGCCTCTGCCTCCCAAGTGCTGGGACTAAAGGTATGTGCCGCCACCACCCGGCCATTTTAGTTCCTTTTGAAAAAAACTATTATTATGATAGCATAAGCATATGATGTGTGTGCGTGGACATGTTTGCCATGTGTGGAGGTCAGAGGAGACCACAAACTCTGTAGAGTCAGGTCCCTCTTTCAACTTTACCTGGTTTCAGGGCATTGAACTCAGGTTACCAGGTTTGTACGGCAAATGCCTTGATGCAATGAAACATCCTGGTGGGTCCTTGATGCTTTTTTTTTTTTTAATATACTATTATTGACCTTTTTACAAAATTATTTTTTAAAAATATTTATGTGCATTGGTGTTTTGCCTGCATGTCTATGTGAAGGCATTGTCCCTTGGAACTGGAATTGCAGTTATGAGCTGCTTTGTGGGTGCTGGGAATTGAACCCAGGTTCTCTGAAAGAGCAGCCAGTACTCTTAATTGCTGAGTCATCTGTCCAGTCCCTTATTACTGGTTTTTCTAAACAGGATTTCCTAGCCTCATGAACTCAGAGATCCAATTGCTTCTTTCGCTCCTCCCAGCCCACCCCCTTGCAATTAAAGGTGTGAGCCACCATGCCTGCCTGTTTTTATACAAAACAGGGGTGTAAAGTGAAGCCCAGGCTGACCTCACATTTGTGAATGATAGGGTTACATACTTGCACCTCAAAATCTTGCTTTTTTTTTTTTAAAGTGATTAAGATCACTTTTCTGAGTGTATATTTATGTCCGTAAATTTTAGCAAGATATTTCAGTCTCTTTCATAGTTACTTAAAATGTAATTCCTGCTGGGTGGTGGTGGCACACACTTTTAATCCCAGCATTTGGGAGGCTGAGGGCAGTGGGACTCTGTGAGTTCAAGGCCAGCCTGGTCTACAGAGTTCCAGGACAGGCTCCAAAGCTACAGAAACCCTGTCTCAAACAAAACAAAACAAAACAAAGCAAAAAAAATTCTTGCTATTTGTGTCAGTAACATTTTTCCTACGAATTTGACAAGTAGGTGATCGGGATTTTCAGTGTTCATGCTCTGTGCATGAGTGATCCAAGTCTACCTTACATGTCAAAGCCCATCTCAAATATTAATACATTTTGTTTAGTCTTAGTTGCTTTCTCCCAGGTAACTACTGTATTTAAAAGTGTATAATTAAAGCCATGTGTGGTAGTACACTGTCTAGTAATCCCAGAGTTAACGAAACTAAAGGGAATTCTCAGGAATTCAAGGCCCAGTCTGGGCTCCCAGCAAGGTCATTTCAACAAGGTCTCTTGATTGTTTTTGTGTGTGGTCTGAACTCCACTCCTGTTTCTCTAATAAGAACAGCACTTTCCTGCTGATTGTATTCACTAAGAATCACAAACAATTTCAATGTTGTAATGATTTAATTATGTCTTACTATCCCACTGTAAATGTCAGTAATGAGTCTTTTTACATTGCCTGTGTTTTTATGTCTTTATCCTCATGCTTACCAAAAGCTTTTACATATCCCAGAGAAACGGGGAAACTGAGGCCTGAGATAACAATCTGAGGGGGTCTTTTGTGGGTTAAGGACACTCAAGAGGGCATATGGAACGAGGTTGCTTACTGCGTTCCTTCTTCCATTCTAGGCAGTAGAACGAGTCCTCTACCCACATCTACCCACTTACTGGACAAACTTGCAAGCCGTGCTGGATGACTATTCAGTATCTAATGCCCAGGTCAAAGCAGATGGGCACAAAGTCTATGGAGCTATTTTGGTGAGTGGACAGTCCCAGCTACCCCTTATTACAGCTTAGCAGGTTTACTGAGAATGCCTGCTGGCCCAGGTACTTTCTAGCTCTCTTCTTCTTCTTTTTTTCTTCTTTTTTTAATTTTTTTGATAGGTGGCCGTAGAGCGACTACTGAAGATGAAAGCCCAGGCAGCAGAGCCCAATCGCGGTGCCCTTGGCGGGAGAGGGTGCCATCGTGCCGAGGACCTGCCTTGGGACAGCCTTCTCCTAGAGTCTTCCCCGGGAGGCGGTGCCGAACCAGGCTTTGGGTCTGGTCTCCCCCTGCCGCCAGGAGGCGCCCGGCTAGAGGACCCTTCTTCCTTGACCCTGGCAGAAATCTACCGAGAGTTGTACGCTTTCTTCGGTGACAGCTTGGCCACACGCTTCGGCACTGGCCAGCCCGTGCCCACGGTCCCGCGCCCGCCCGGAGACAAGAAGGAGCCAGTGGCTGTCCCAGACTCGGTGCGGAAAATGCCGCAGCTGACCGCTAGCGCGGTGGTCAGCCCGCAGGGAGATGAGAGCCCGCTCGGTGGGGGCCCCGCGACCGCCTCCGCCGCCTCGGAGAGCAGACCGCTGCCGCGCGTGCACCGGGCGCGGGGCGCTCCTCGTCAGCAGGGTCCTGGCACCGGGACGCGCGACGTCTTCCAGAAGAGCCGCTTTGCGCCCCGCGGTGCCCCTCACTTCCGTTTTATCATCGCTGGGCGTCAAGCCGGGCGGCGCTGCCGCGGGCGTCTCTTCCAGACTGCTTTCCCCGCGCCCTACGGGCCCAGCCCGGCGTCCCGCTACGTGCAGAAGTTGCCCATGATCGGCCGCACCGGCCGCCCAGCTCGCCGCTGGGCGCTCTCGGACTACTCTCTGTACCTGCCCCTGTAAGGCTGCCGCCTCTTCACAAATAAATCCTCCCCAGGAAGTGACGTGTCCGGGCTCGTGGGCGGGGCTTGGGCGGTTGGCTTCCTGTTGGCCCAGGTGCCATGGCGCTAAGCTGGTTGCAGCGTGTTGAGCTCGCGCTATTCGCTGCCGCCTTCCTGTGCGGGGCTGTGGCGGCTGCGGCACTGACAAGGACCCAGGTGCGGCTGCGGGGCGGGCTAGCCTTGGGTTGGAGCAGGCCGACGTCCGAGACTGGCCGTGGTAGCTCCACCGGTCTTAGGGGCTGAGAAGTCCCAAAGTTGTTTTCTTGCCAAAGGAGCTGAACATGGAGAGCGTCTTCCGCCCAAGATGAGCCGGTTGTTAACTGCTGTATAAGCTTGCTTGGGTGTACTGAGACATATAGGCCGTCTTTGCATTTATCCAATAGAAACGTTTTTCCACCCCTTCTCTCCTCTAAACGTAGTGTAGAGGAGGTGATCAAGGTACCCCCTGATTCTAACGCGGTGTGTGAAATGAGGAAACGTAAATACCTACGTACATTTAAGATTTACTACTGCTGGGCAGTCTTGGTAATAGAGTACTTTGAGTCTTTATAGGAGTCTAGGACACTACAGGCTAGGAAAGCTGCTTGTTTAAGGACACACAAGGTCAGGGTTTACTCCTGAATTTCTGCTCACAGGGAAGGCTGAAACTTGTGATTTCTCTTGGGTTTTTGTTTTTTGAAGCAGGGTTTCTCTATGTAGCTAGCCCTGGCCATCCTGGCACTCCCTGTAGACTAGGCTGACCTCGAGCTCACAGATATCTATCTACCTGCCTCTGCCTCCCTGGTGTACCACCACTGCCGGGCTTCTCTTGGGTTCATTAAAATCCATTGAATTTTCTGATCCCTTGGGCGCCCTGCAGACTTGGTTACCAGCAGATCTACATCAGTCTCCCCGTTTCTCCTAATTTTTGAACAAGCCCTGACATCTGGCAGTAACCTGCATCTTGGTGCATTAAACTGGAAGGAAGGACTAAACAGCTTTCTCTCCACAGGGCTCCTTCGGTGGTAGCTGTCCCCTGTATGGTGTGGCTGCCCTCAATGGCTCCTCTCTGGCCTTGTCAAGTCCCTCAGCCCCTTCCCTCTGCTCCTTTGTAGCTGGGGCTTCAGGCCTTTTGGCCCTCTACTGCCTTCTGCTTCTCCTCTTCTGGGTGTACAGCAGTTGCATCGAGGATTCCCACAGGTGACTGCCCTACTGAGGACAAGGGGCTGAGGTGAGAGGAGTTCCATCTAAGCCACACAGCTTGTTTTCTCTCCCTCAGAGGTTCTATAGGGCTCCGAATTGCTTTGGCCATCTCAGCTATAGCCATCTTCTTCATCTTAGTGTCTGCCTGTATTCTTCGATTTGGCACCCGTTCTCTCTGCAATTCCATCATCTCCTTGAACCATACAATTAGGTAATGGGAGAGGGAGGGAAACCTGGCAGGGACTATCTTACTATCTTTCCTCTGTAGGGGACAAGTCACTTACATTCTCATTTTATCCCCATCCTTTGGCCCTTACTCTAAGAACACAAATGTGCTTAGAGCGTTTTCCCTCTCTCTATCCTCACAGCTGCTCTGATGCCCAGAAAATCTCATGGACACCCCCTGGAACTGCTGTGCAGTTTTACTCCAACCTACAAAATGCTGAAGTGAGACAAAGGGATATACTAAGATTAAATACCTGTAGCTCAAGTATGGAGTGTTCTCCATGTAATATGTGCTTGGCTGTAATTCAGTCAAAAGCTCCAAGTATCCGTGGGCATGTCACATGATTCTCAATAGAGGATATTGAGTATTGGAGACGGCTTCCTTCCTCATATACCTGTTTTCTCTCACAGACCTCTTCTTGGGTGAATCTGGTACTGTGGTGTCTGGTTTGGATGCTCCAGGTCGTGCAGTGCAAGTCTGAAGCCACCCAGGCTCCAGAGAGGGGTGACCCAGAGTGGAGCTCTGAGACTGCTGCTCTTGTTGGGCACCGCCCATCTCAATCCTGAAGAATGTTCAGCGTGCTCTCTGCAGCCAGAACCTCCATGCCCAAGAGCTTTTAATCTTGTCTCAAATACAGCCCTGTTTATACCGAGAACCTCAGTTTTCCCTCCAGGAGGGAAACATAAGAATAGACCCCCCTCCACACACACACCTTTTCACCTTAACATTTTTTTTGTACCAAAATAATATATATTACTTTTCTTCATCATGGTATAGAGTTCTTGATGTGAAAGAAAATAGATGAAGAGAAGACAGAATGATGGCCTATTAGGCCATTTAGAAGACAGATTTATTGGCTAGTAGCGAATCCTGGGTTCCTTTTTATTGTCCTGGGTTGTCTCCTCATTTCAAGGGTTTACATCCTCATCTGAGAAGGGTAAGCCACTTTTCACAGGCTCCGATAGGCACCCACAGTGTTGTCAAAAAGTTGAGTGTTGGGGAAGTGTCCAGTTTTGTCCAAAAGGAAGTAGAATCGTCGGCCTTTAATCTTCAGAGGCAACATGGCAGGAACTTCACCTCTATGGGCCATGCAGGAAACCTGGTTCAAGGGAACTGTGAAACGGGTCCCCAAGCCAAAGGGGGCATAAGTGGTGAGTGTCACCTGCTGCCCTCCTGCAAGGAGCATGATTGAACGCACAGATCGGAGAGAGTAGAGAAGACCAGCACCCAGGACCAGGGTTCCTGCGGGAGAAGCAAAGTGGGGTGAAGGATTATGCAGACCCCCGTTAGAGCAGCACATTGCTGTAATGGCTCGAACAGTTGAGCACTTACAGAATTTTGTGTTTCTAACTCTAAACTCATCACTTAGACAAGCTAAGCAGTGATAGTGCACAACTTTAATCTGAGCACTCAGAAGGCAGAGGCAGGAGAATCTGAGTTCGAGGCCAACCTGTTCTACAAAGAGAGTTCCAGGACAGCCAGAGTTATACAGAAAAACCTTGTCTCAGGAAAAAAAAGAAAAACAGGGTCTTTCAATCCATGCTAGCAGCAAGCTTGCTATAACCTTGAACTTGTGAACTTCCTGCCTCCACTGTCAAAATGCTGTTACATCTGGGTGCCACAATGTACAGTTTACACAGTGCACGCGCGCGGGGGGGGGGGGGGGGGGAAGAGGGGAGGATTGAATCCCCAAGGCCTCGTGCCTTAGGCAAGCACTCTACAAATTGAGCCATACTGACGTTTTTATAGATGGCCAGCTCCATAGTTAAAGGTAGAAAATGGGCCCGTGGCTTCAGTAGCCTGTTCACGGCCAGAAGGAAGAACAGACCTTGGCTTATGGTGTGCAGGGCGGAGGTGGGGAGTTGGAGAACAAAGCATTCACGGACTTGCATCACAACTATACTGGATATCCTGCTTACATTTCTGCTCATCCAGGAGGATTGGGAACCCTTCATTGAGTTTTGTGCTCACAGCCCCACGGCAACCTGAAGCCCATGCCCTTACCCATCGTGCCGCAACCAACAGCTAGCCCGTAGCGCCAGAGTGCGGAGCGCAGGTCGGTGTTGCCCTGGTTGGGGGCCTCCGCAGGACCTCGGATAAGAGGTCGGGACAAGGCTGCAACAGCCAGAGAGGTCCAGAAGATGCCCTGGCCGGCGCAGAATAATCCAAGGGTGGCAAAGAAGCGACCCCGTTCATTTTGGAAGAGTAGCACATCTCGTGGGACCTCATTTTGCAAAGGCCGGTACGCAGGCTGGGACCGCAGCAAGGAAAACAGCCCGCGGACACCCCGCCACCAAGGTGCCGCCATGGCGCGGCACTTCCGTCCCCGGGGCGGGACTTCCTGTTACGACACATTCTCCCACCCCTTCCTGCAGTGAGGGAAGTGAGCCAGTAATAGGACACAAACTACAATATCACTCTTTATCTTAAAAAGTAAAGGGTATCTGGGGTTAAGTACACAGAGCACCTAAGTCCTTCGGGTAGTTTAGTGTCAGCTCTACAAAGTAAGCTTTGGCTTCCTGGCACCATGAGGCTCAATCTTCCGGAAGTCTTCTGTAAGTCTTCCAGAAGGTAGGTGAGGAGGATGAGGCAGCCCTCCCTCCTCAGTCACAGTTACAGGCTGGCCTCGGTGCTGCACAGGAGACGGCAGATGACAGCCAGACAATATTATCCAAGGGCTATTTACAAGGGGGCTTTTCCTGTGATCATTTCATAAACGCTACTTCTGGAATCTCTCCCTTGGCCTGCAGAAAGAGAACAGGTAAGTAGAGCCAGATGATCCCTTTCTCACTAGCTTAATTGACACGCCCCCACCCACACTCTGCTGTCCTGGAACTCTATATAGATCAGGCTGGCCTCAGTTTCAATCTGGCTACCTCTACCTCCCAGGTGCTGGGACTAATGACAAGCCCACCACACCTAGCCTTCATTTGACCCTTTTGTAAACCTCAGAGATGACTGGTTCTAGCCACAAAATTCTCATACCCTACCTTGAGATGAGTGAAGGCCTGAGCAGATCTGGTGTAGTCCCAGTTATTGTCTTGAAGGCACCTGAAGTGAGATTAAAATAGGAAGCCACGTGAGAATCTGACTACTAAAGGGGGAAAAAGCCACTTTATAATCCATGCCATGAAGAACTTCACCCAAATTTTTCATTAAGTTTATACATTGTTGCACCACTTATACAAATGAAACATTAAAATGTCTAACAAAAATGACCAAAATTTTATACTGGAATGGATTTACATAATTTAAAAACTAAGTTGCAGGATGGCAAGATGGTACAGGCCTTTAATCTCACCATCCAGGAGGCAGAAGGAGGTGGGAATCACTGAGTCGGAGGCAATTTTGAGCTACACAATGACTTTCAGGCAGCCAAGGCACATAGCAAGACCCTGTCTCAAACATAACTGTTGCAGAACCATATATAAGAGACTCTTGCTCCAGGTATTCACCTATAGTCCCAGCTCCCTTGGAATGATGAGGATTACTGCAGTCCAGGACATGGTAAGAGTTCAAGCACAGCTTTGGCAACTTAATGAGACCTTGTCAAAATGAATGACAAGTAAAAAGAGGACTGAGTAGCAATAG